TCCTCCGGGGGCGGGTGGGGAGCCCCTCGCTGGGGTGGGATGGGAGGCGGGGAGCCGGCAGGGAATTGTGGGCAGCGCAGCGAGTTGCAGAAGCCTGGAGCAAGCTGCGAGCAGGGGAGCAGGGTTCGTATCCCCTCTCCCGCTGCTGAGTGACAGCCGAGCTTTGAGCAACTGGATTAATAATCTGTCAGAGCCTCACTTTCCCCGTCTGTAAAATGGGACACAGGATTACCCTGTGGCGCATGATATCAGATGATGTTCGTGGTATTCTTGGCAGGGCGCTTTTGTAATTGAGCTACCCTTAAATGGTTCCATATACAGCACCCTGAAAGGAGGAGTATCCAAAATAGGCGGAAGAGTGGCTAGGTGAGAGCTATAGCACACTGGGAGGGCTAAGTGCCCCAGTTTGCCAGAGGGCTGGGCCAGCAGGTGGCTTGGAGGTCAAGGGTTGGGTCCCTCTTGGTGGACTGCGGAGTTGAGTCTCAGACCCATAGTTTGAAAAATATGCCAGGCTCCTGTGTGGGCCTGCCCCAAATCCCAAGAGGAGAATGGAGGAGAAGGGATTGTGATGTGGCCATCCCTGGGGGAGGTGGGGGGTGGGAGTGTGTGTGTGGGGTGATTCGCCACTCCCCCCACACCAGGGCATTTGCCCTGTAGCAAAACTAAAAAAGAAAGAAAGACACAGAGAGAGAGAGAGAAAGAGAGAAAGGAAAGAAGGAAGGAAGGAAGAAATAAAGAAAGGGGGGGGGATCAGTTGATCTTTACCTAGGGGGCTTGGAATGGGGTGAAATGGGTTGAGATGGGGTGCCGGGAGGGGAGGGAGAAGAGTGCAGAACATGAAAACTGATAATTTCCTAGCTTGGGTTGAGTCTTGGCCTCATCCTTCCTTCTTCCTTCCACTGTCCAAGATCATTAAAGGTACAGAAGTGTGTGAGTCCTCAGGATCCTTGAGACCCCTCTCCTTGCCCTTCCCTGAGCATCCTCTGCGCAGCTTGCAGCCTGCCGGCCCACTCCAGTGCAAGCCAGCACGGTCCACTCCAGTGCAAGCCAGCACGGAATAGCTTCCCTGGCCTGGAAAGGGCTGTCTGGCCCAGGGAGGGCAGTGCACACAGTGGGACCCATCTCCCCACTCGGAACCCCTTCTCACCTTTGGTGGTATAAAGCCACGAGGACTTCACTCCATGTCAGAAGCTGCTTTTCTCTAGTAACCAACCCTCACCTGAGCAAACCAAGCAGAGCTGACATCCCCTCAGTCTGTATTTGTGTGTAAGTGTGCGTGGTGGGAGAAGGAAAACACTGGGTAGAGCTTTTAAAAACAAAATAAGCCCCTTTCCGCAAAGTTCCAGCTTCTTCCCCATGATATAGCTGGGTGCAGCCTCAGGCCTCGTGCCTGGCCTATTGCCTGGCCTGTTGCCCTCAGAGCTGAGTCTGGCTGCTGGCCTTTCATGCAGGGGTGGGGTGCCATCTAGAGACCTGGCCACCTTGGTTAACTGCTGAGCACTGGCCTTCTGTCTAGGTGACTCTGTGGAGCCCTTCTTTTCTCCCAGATTCACCTCACATGGATCTCCCACCGAGGCAAAAGGCTAGGCCTCCATCATGTGCAAGGGCTTAGGGTTTGCTGGAAGTCACAGAAAGTGGCTTCAACCTGCTTACACAAGAAGGGGCAGTTGTTGGACAGAAACCAGTGTATTTTTTTAATTGTTTATTTTATTTTCTATTTATTCATTCGTTGATTTTTTTTTAATTTGACCAGAGAGAGACAGAGGGTGAGAGTGAGAGAGAGAGAGGAAGTGAGAAAGCAGGCCACAGATTCAGGACTTGAACCCTGGTCGGCCATGTGGGAGTGTCCAGTGCCTTAACCACCATGTCACCCACTGGTCCCAGAAACCAGAGCATTTCAGGAACCCAAGGGCCTCTGGGACTTGTGTGAGCCAGGAGGGACCTAGGGGTCCTCATTCTGCCTCTGTCCTTAGTTCCTCTCCCTGTGGCAGCTTCCGTGTCACCCCAGAACACTTCCACCAGCCAGACCCCATGACAATGCTGAGCCCTGTTTGTTTCTTTGGGCTGCTTTAACATCACATCACAGACTGGGTGGCTGAAACCAAGAGACGGTTCTCTCTCACAGTTGAGGTGGTCAGAAGTATAAGGTCAGAATCACGTACTGCGTGGCTAAAAAGGGTGGTTTCTCTTTGAAGGCTGTGAGGGAGAATCAGTCCCCTAGCACCCAGTGGCTTCTGGTCCTCACCACCTGTTGTTGGCAGCTGATCAATCTAGTCTCTGCTTCCAGTGTTCACATGGCCTCCAGCTCATATCTCTGTCTCTATCTCCTGCTCTCGCTCTTATAAGACACTCGTCACTGAATTTAGGGCCCCACCTCATCTAGGATAATTTTTCCTTGAGGTCCTTACCTTAATGACCTCTGTGAAGACCCTCATTTCAGTAAGTTCACATTGTGAGATTCCAGCTGGGCGTGTCTTTCGGAGGGACTACTATTTAACCCAGTGCAGGCCTCTGCCAGATCCCTGGGGGAGATCATTGGTTTGGCCAACTCAGGGGATAGACATTTGTCATTTTTTTGGCTGCCAGACACCCAAAGGGCCTTCTCGTTGAGGAATCTGAATGCACAAGATCCCCTGACCCCATTGCTGGCAACTAGGATGTTGCCGTGTGATTTTAAGTGTGGTCAATTGAATGCACCACTTGGAATTTAAGCTGTAAGCTGATGACAGGTCAGAGTTCACTTGTGTCATGGCAACAACCTAGAAGAACCCGTGGTGGAAAAGGTGTCCAGAAGCCAGTAGACATCCTGACCAAACTTTCGGCGCTTTCGTCCACCCTGGCTCTGTCTGTTTTCTGAGCCTGGTGTGCTAGCCTTTCTGCTGATCACACAAGAACTCCCATAGTAGGTCTTTTACTAGAGGGGCTTTTCTTCTTGAGTTGGCCATGTCTAGTGTCTGTGGACTGGTGAATAAACACCAAGCTCTGTGCTTAGGCTGCTGAAGCAGGCTTGTTTTATTATCAACCCATAGACCATGTTGACTGCCAGCTCTTGGCTAGGCACTGGGGCTGAACAGGGACTAGAAGCTGAGCTTCATAAGCTCGAACTCAGTGCCATCATTTGTTCTCTGTGCCTTTTAATTGGAAACTTAGGCAGGCCATGGGGGTCATTAGGGACAGAATCAAGAGTTCTTTCAGTCCCCACTCCATGCTCTTCCATCACAATCAACTGACAAATACACATTGAGTACCTGCTGCTTGCTCCCAGTAGCAGGTGTACTGTGGAGTGTCAGGCCGGCCTGTCATCTTGGGGCAGGGGAGACAGGGCTATAGAAAGATGGCCAGGCACTAACCCAGAGAGGTGCTGAGAGTCTACTATGGGAGCAGATATGAAGAGCATTGCACACCTCTCCAAAGGAGGCAGGTGGCCAGGGAAGACATCTTGGCAGGGGACACTTGAGAAGGTCTTGAAGGGTGGATGTGATGTGAATAGGCAAGCCAAGCAGAGGGGGTCACTGGGATGACTGGTGGTAAGGTGAGGGCCTTATGAGGCTTTTGTAGGGACTCAATGGGAAAGGGTAGGGACAGTTGTGGCAGGTCTTCAATGGCCATAGAAGGTCTCTTCCTCTTCCTGTTGCTGTCTCTGAGCAGGACTGTCACAGTAGTTCCTTTGGTCCACTGTACAAGGATATCTGGCAGAGAGGAGAAGTAGGAGCTCAAATCTAGCCTCTCTACCACCACCAAGCCATGAACCCTCACATGGGCAATACATGCCCAGAGAGGGCACCTTCTTCAGTGTGCACAAAGACACTTTGTGTGCTAGCAGTGGGTCTGGGTTTTCTCCTGCAGTTGTCCCCCTCCTCTGCCTAAACCTGAGTGACCAGCAGGCACCTTAGCTTTGCCCTTCCTGCTCCTGAGTCCTGATAGTGCAGGTAACAACTCCTCCAGGGCAGTGCTTTGCCAAAGTGCATCCGGGGCTTTGGGGCCCTCCTATAAGTGATCCGCTGAGGGTGGAGCTAAGCCCTGGCAGGATGAGAATGAAGGGATAACCAAAGAGGCCCGGAGCTTTCTACTCAAGAGAAAACTGCAGGTTCTGTTCTAAGAGGATAGGTAAAACTGTAGGTTCTGTTCTAAGAGGATAGGTATCCTTGCTGGGGAAAATGAACCTCTCACCCCCAAATTCCTCTGAGCCTAGTACTTGAATACATCTGTGGAAACCCTCATTCCTAGAGTATAGTATGATGTGCTGTGGACAGGTAATAGTTACTCACAGGCACTGCCGCCCGAGCTGGTGAGCTCTGCACAAGGTCGGTGTTCTAGCTGCCCTGCGAGTAAGACACCTGGCTGCTGATCTGCAGGGAGGTAGAGTGCGTATGTGGGACTGATGCTCCAAGGGACTATGAATTAAGCTAGGGTTTCTCACAC